TTAAGTGTCACTGGACCTCTTTGCGTCCCCTTTAGCCAGGGATCTACTGTCTGTGGCTGCCACTCTGCACTCAGCAGGCAGCATAGACAGCACAGGGTGGTGTGGAATCCCACTTGGGGGCGGGGCTATTGGGTCCTTTGACGCTGGTGCCACTCAGGGGGAGTGGTCTCTTCCTGAGCAAGATGGCTGCTGCTGCATGGGGAAGAGTCAGCACCGAGATCCCCCTGGCTACTCTCTCAGTTCTCTCCCAAATCCTCCTTTCCCAGTCTCTCCTCAGGCATCTCTAGCCCAGTCTCCCTGGCCTTTGCTGGAGTCCAGAGTAAGTGGCTGCAAATAAAAATTTTGCATTGGCCCCTTAAACAGTTCTTTGCATCTCCAGCTGCCTGTGTCTGGGACAGAGCAACCCTACCGCTTTTCACAGCTGGCTCTTTTCTGTGTACTTTTTGGGCTCTGGTGCTCTATGCTAGAGATCCCCGCTTTTGGTTTAGACCCTGCTCTTCTCAGGGGGATCCAACTGGCCATTTCAATATCCTTCTGGTGCTGCTGCCCGTGGGCATCCTGCCCACCTTCTCAGGTCTCTACTGCAGTCCTTACTGGTTAGATTGCACTAAAGCCAATTCTTTTGTCTCTGAGGTTACAAGGCTTCTCTCTCTCTATTTTTCAATTGTTTGTTCCAGGTGATTTCTCCACAGTTTAGTTGTAATTCCAGGTTTGTCCTGGGAGGAGGTCCATGTGACTTCCACTCACTCCTCCATCATCTTGATTCTCTCTCAGAATGTAATTTTTGATAGCTCTACTTCTTGATATATAGAAGTCTGTTTAGCCTACAGAAGGTCACTAGGTAGCCAGTATGTTTCTAGATTTGTGGTTCTCAGTAAGTGGGAAGATTTTTTCCACAAGGGAACATTTGGTACTGTTTGGAGACATTTTTTTATTGTCATAAGCAGGGATAGGGGATGTGCTATTGGCATCTGCTAAACATCATACAATGCATGGGACAGTCATGACAAACAATTATCTGAATCAAAATATCACTAGTGCTACAGTTGAGAAACCCCATCTAGATGGTCCATGGGGGAACTTGGAGACATTAGGGAAAGGCAGTTACTCTGACAGTGACAAAAATTTAACAATTCTTTAAACACAGTTATCTTCTCTGTGTGGAGGGTGGCCCCCAACTTTGGTGAAGAAAGCACAGAGCTAACCCTTGTCCTTGCCTCAGGAAAGGGACAACCTCAGAGCTCACCAAATCAAATCAGCCACATTTCATATTTCATAATTATAGCTGTAGAGACACAAGGCCATGAAACATGTCCTGACATATTGCTACAGTAGAACTCTCTAGGTAACACAAGACGGGAGTGAAATTTCCATGGGTACCATCTGTATTTTATTTATTTCCAGGAGGCAGAAACAAAAACTTCAGGAAGAGAAGTAACATTGTAATCATTGGTTTTTCAGTCCGGATATGCACCCTTTACCAATCATATCCTGGTGTCTGACCAGAGATAAGTGTTCTAAGGAGGCTGGACGGTATGCCCAGTTGTACTGCAGAGCAGTCCCTTAGGATCAAAAATGAGTCTGCTCCTCCCAAGTTCTCCAGAATTCAGAGAGGCTCATTCAGATGAAAACATTAGAGAAGAAACATGGGAAGTCAGACTCTAAAGTATCAGTTTTAATTTTTTAAACCTGAGGAAAAGAAATGCTCCAGCTGAGTCACAGTGCCTTTGGAGAAAACTGAAGGGTTCTCTGCTTTCCCAGTCATTTGAAGGGTGGCACAGAAGACTCCAAGACTCAGGCATCCTCTCCAAGGAGGTCTTGAGCCTGAGAGAGGGAATTTTTAGGGGATAGCCTCTGCTTTTCCCTTTGTTTCTGCCCTTCCATTAAGTTGAATTTAGCCACAGGAAAAACCCAAGTGTTGAGACTGAGGTCCTGACACAATGTGAGTTGCAGTAAAGGAGAGAGTGCTTATAGCAGACAGCTAATGAAACTGATGTAGTGAGTAGTGGACAAATTGTGATTTTGTGTGTGTGTGTGTGCGCGCGCGCATGCGTGCGCAATTTCCCAGCACTGAATTCTACTGCTTATGTTTGGGGAATTTTCTAACTCATGAGGCAGATCCTGCTTACCACTATGAAAGTAGAAAATGCCAGATATGTGATTCTCAGCCTCCTCCTTGGAGTGGAATATGGATGTGAAACCTATGATTGACTACTCAATCCTGGACTCCAAATTAGAAACTAGAGATGGAAAGATGAAGAAGGGACCCTGGAGAAGTCACTTTGGTGCAGTGACAACAGCAGTACGACAACAGTGACAACAGCAGTTTTCCACTGCAGCTGAGGGAAGAGAGAGTGGTGGGGTCCAGATCTAGTGCTGGGAGGACAATAGCAGTGCACCTGGTGCTCAGCATCGTCATCCCTGGGCTGATTTTGCAATTTGAGCTGTGGTCCTAGCCAACACCTATGTCTCTCTTTTACCTGCTTATTTTCAAAGCATGGTTTTACAAAACCTCCTAGCAGTTATTTGACCCAACCAATATCTTTTCAGTAGATTCCTTTTATATGCTAAAACTAAAAAATCCAGACCAGTTTTTGTTGATTGCAGCTAAGAACACTATTACCAAAATTGGTACCAGGAAATGGGCTACACCAAGCAACAGAACTAAAATATGAATTGACTGAACAGAGGAGGTACAAAGTAATAAGGACCTCAGAGTTTTGAGCAGGAAAGTTGGTGCTCAAACCAACTTGTAAGTTGTTTGGTTGTAAGATAATTGGTAATTTCTTAAAGTGTTTGCTAAGGTCGTATAAATACCTATCAGAAAGAAGAGCTTCAATTGAAGAGGGCTTATCTGAAAGCAAGAGAGTAAGAAGATTAGGACTTTATGAAAAGAGGCTCTTTCTGTCTGCAACCTGAAATTTATTAAACATTAAATTACTTGAAACTGTTGGGCTAAAATATGTTAATTTTCTACTTCAGGATAGATTTAGTGTAAGGGATTAGGAAGTGCCTTTTAGAGACCCTGGCAATGTGAGGCCACGGATGTAAAATGAGATTCAGAATCAAGTTGAAGAGTCTTAGCTGAAGCTCCAGGTTTGTTGTTCAATGGAATAGACAGAGAACTAGAATTTGAAAACAATTTGGGGAAGTGAAAAATCACTCTGGAATAAGTTCTGAATATTGCAAGTTCCTTTGTTAACAACATCACCAAATACTTGCCACTTTTCTTTAAATCTGAATACTATTTTCATAGTCTTAAAAGTATAATTTTAAGAATCTGGCTGTGCATCTAAGGACAATCACAGCCCTCAGTGTCCAGTCCAGCTTTTTACAAAATGTCTATTGTTCATGAAATTATGTGCAAGCTCGGCTTGGAGAACAGTCACTCTACACCCCGAAATGCATACCGATCAGTCAAAGCCTACACCAACTTTGATGCTGACCAGGATGCTTTGAACATTGAAATGGCTGTCAAGACCTAGGATGTGGTTGAGGTAACCATCGTCAATATTTTGACCAATCACAGCAGTAAACAGAGACAGGATATTGCCTTTGCCTGCCAGAGAAGGACCAAAAAGGAACTTGCATTAACACTGAAGCCAGCCCTGTCTGGCCACCTGGAGACAGTGATTTTGGGCCTATTGAAAACACCTGCTCAGTGTGATGCTTCTGAGCTGAAGCCCCCCATTGAAGGGGCTGGGGATTGAAGAGGACCCTCTCATTGAGATCATCTGCTCAAGGATCAAGGAGGAGCTGCAGGAAATTAACAAAGTCTACAAGGAAATATACAAGACTGACCTGGGGAAGGACATTATTTCTGACACATCTGGTGACTTCCACAAGGGTAGAAGAGCAGAAGATGGCTCTGCCATTGATTATGAACTGATTGACCAAGATGCCTGTGATGTCTATAATGCTGGAGTGAAGAGGAAAGGAACTGATGTTCCCAAGTGGATCAGCATTATGACTGAGCAGAGAGTGTGTGTCACCTCCAGAAAGAATTTGAAAGGTATAAGAGCTACACCATTATGACATGTTGGAGAGGATCAAGAAGGAAGTCAAGGGAGACCTGGAAAATGCTTTCCTGAATCTGGTCCAGTGCATCCAAAACAAACCCCTGTATTTTGCTGACCGACTGTAGGACTCCACGAAAGGCAAGGGGCATGTAACACAGTCTTAATCCAAATCATGATCTCCCATGATGAAGTGGATATGTTGAAAATCAGGTCTGAATTCAAGAAAATGTATGGCAAGTCCCTGTACTGTTACATCCAGCAAGACACCAAGGGTGACTACCAGAAAGTGCTGTGTGGGTGGGGACGACTGAGGCCTGAGACGGCTCGAGTGTCCAGGAGTGGTGCTCCTGTGCTTCCAGCTAAGTATTCTAGAAAATAAGCTTGTGATTAATAGTCTCCTGTGCCCATCACTGTGTGGATGATGTTAGCATTGCTTCTGCCCTGACCTTATTTCAGTTGCCCAAGCATTGCCTGGCTTTCCCATCTAGTCTCTCCTTTCAGCCAAAGAAATGAACATTCCAAGGAGTTGGAAGTGAAATCTATGATGTGAAACACTTTACCTCCTGTGTACTCTGTCATAAACAGATGAATAAACTGAATTTTTACTTTATAACAAAAAAAAATCTTAGTGATTTCTATCTGTTATTTTAAGCCCAGAGACCTCAAAGTCATGTTTTCAGTTTATTGACTCTTCAGCTTCTTTTATGACAGTCTTTTACATATAATAAGGAATTCATTCTCCATTGCCCATCCAGAGAGAGAAACTGAGGCACAAAGCCCCAGTGATTGGAATCAGCTCCCAGAACCATGTACAGACAGCCAGAATGTAAACTGTTCCAGACTCTGGCTGGTGGTCAGCTGTCTGAGATAGGTGCTGGATGTTCTGGCTTTCTGCCTTTGGCTTTCATTATGCAATCTCAGCAAACAGCAAGACACCTGAAGGTCTGGATTCACTGGATTTGCATTGTCCATTTGTTTGCCACACCACAGAGATGGAAAACTCTGCTCTGGGCCTGTGCCCTGCGGAGTGGATTAAATGATTGTGAAGCTTCACCTCCTTGTCCATTTCATAGGTAGATGTGGATGCAACATCACCAAGTAGTTGATCTGAAAAGAGTACAAATGTGTAGAGTGTCATAGGAATTTGAGACCTGGAGCCAAGTTCAGTGTTTGTTTTGGCTCCTCTGCATTCCTTTGGATAGTCCCTTCACTGGGCCTGTGGTGTCAGCTCTCTGGAAGTGTCACACTGGCATAAATTGTGATGGAGCTTGATTCCTGGGGACAAAACAGAAAAAGTCTGTGAGTAGAGGGACGGGCACTAGCCTCACAGAAACAAATAGAAACAGTGCTGTTTAGGAAAAGGAAAGGGTCTCAGAAATCATGTAGCATAGAGACTTGGTCACAGTCAGGCATTGCTGGAGGCTATACCAGATTATCTGGTCCACAAGATGGGCTACAGATCCCTTCCAAGCATATATCTGCCATCAAGGACACTGGGAGACCTGTCCCAGAGATCTGAGGACAGAGCTCAGTGCCCCACAACCTCCTTGTTTTCTTCCCTTCCCTTGACTTAGAAGGAAAACCACCGGTTTTGCTTTTAGGTATGGGACATAGTTTGCAGAACTGAAGAGAATCCCAAGTCACAGAGTTTTAAAAAGGATTAATGAGACCCAAAGGGAGAAGGAAGAAGTGGTTCAGGCAGCAGAGAGTGAAGGAGAGGAGATGAGGATTCTGGGCAAAGACCTCTTATGGGGAGTGCATTCAAGAGTCTGAGAAATAAAGACAGAAACGGGAAAATTTAGGAGGTTTTTCTATAAAATATGAATATACTATTGTTCTTTCCCAAGAAAACTTCATTAAAAATCTACATTATTTTTTAAAGATTTTGAAGTCAGAGCTTGGAAGAAGAGGGGTAAATGTAGGCATTTCTGTGGTCTTTCAATTCTCAATTGTCTCCTAAACTGCTTTATTTAATAGAACAAAACTGGAGCCAAGATTTCAGCCCAGAGTTTATCTATGTCCATTTGGTAAAGAACTTCTGCAAGTAAATTGATCCAATGCTGATTTAGCAATGGATAGAACAGGTGAGGCTCATTCTGGGCTGCATGTCACATTTTCTCCTAGGTTTCATACCTATGCAGAGCTCAACTCCTATATGTTTTTATTAAATAGGGTTGGATGTAGCCTAGACACAAGCATTTTTACAAAGCTTCTGGTGATTCTGTTATGCAGCTGGACTTGAGAACTCCTGCACTCAAAATGTAATCCCTAAACTTAAACATGTATCAGGATCAACTGGGGGATGTTGTTATTTAATGTATAGATGCCTGGCTACTTGTCATAGACATTCTGATTAAACAGAATCCTAGGTGGAAGGCCCCAAGAATCTTTATTTTTAACAAATATACCAGCTGATTCTGATGTGGTCCTTGGATGACTCTCACAGAAACACTGGTGAGCAGAACATGCTGTGACCCCTCTGTGAGCAGCCATGAGGGCTTTTCCAGAAGTCCTGCAACAAAGGCCACAGATGCTCCTTGCTACCTTCTTGCAATGGCCTGCTATTTCCATTTCAGAACTCTTTTATTTCAGCTCTGCAAAGGTACCACCCTCATCTCTCCTCTCTACAGAGAGATGCCTCACCTGAACAGGCTCTGGGGCAGGCTCTGGGGCAGGCTCTGTGGCAGCAACATAAATGGTAGTGCAGGTGTCCTGAGCTGGCAGAGGATCAGGTTCCTTCTGAACAGACTACAAGAGAAGCAAATAAAGCAGGAAATTAGCTGAGCAGAGGATTATTTCCCATCCAACTTTTCCCATGGGGAAGCACAGAATCAAAAAGCTTTGAGTTAGAAAACTGTTTAGAAAAATTTGGTACAGGTTCATTCCCAGGAATTCTCCTCCAAATTCCCTGGAGTTCAATGCTCTGGGCTTTTCTTGGACTCCTCAAGGGACATCTTGGAATTCACAACCTCATGTGTTGGCCTAATTCCCAGATTTTTGAAAGGTCTTCCTCACAATGAACCAAAATTGGTGAGGCTCTCACTGGGACACCTAAGAGAAGGCCATCTTCATAACATTTGAGTCTGGCTCATATCACCCACTACATGCAGAGTGTATTCCATCCCCACACTCTAACGTGGTTTTTTGTTACTTCTCTTTCCTGTCCGGATATTGAACTTAGTAATAACCACATATATGTTTATTAAAGTTTACAAAGTCTTTCAAATATCTTTTCATTTGTCTCACAGCCACTCTATATATGTTAAATGCTGTTGTCATTCACATTTTACAAGTGAGCGATAGAAGCCTAGAAAGATTCAGGACTTTCCTGATATATACAAGAAGTATTAAAGCCGGGACTCCCACCAAGGTCTTTTAAAGTGTATACTCTTTCCATCATACCATTCCCTTTTTGGTTGCTTCAATTTGTAATGACCTCTCTTTTACCTAAATTCCTTGATATTTAAAGTCTAATTCACACACTATAGCACTTAACTGTATGCTGAATTTAACACACTCATATTTAAATATTGTTTCCCCAGACTATCAGTTCACTGGGAAATAGCCCGTATTTCTTTGCATTCTCCACAAAAAAAGTGCAAGGCACATAAAAAAAAAAAAAACACTTTCAGTTGATGTTTGTTGATGTTACTGTGAATGAATTAAAATCTACAATAACAGGATGAATCAGTGTAGGAGTAAATTGAGACCACATCCCTGTAAGATGGAGATGACATAATTTATGCCAGGGAAATTATCCTTTCAACACATTTTGGGCACACTGGTGCAAGGTGATGCTGCTCTCCACTTTTCCTGATATAGAGTAAGATTTGAAACTGAAGCACATGGTTTTTAATGGGAGATAACTTAGAATCTTGTCACATGATGAAAGAGGTAAGGAATTAGAAAAGCTTACTAAAGGAAAAAAGATTCCAGGTAGAACATGATCTTTCTCTTCATGTATTTTGATGGATTGTTATGTAGAAGAGAAATTAGATTTGTTCTGTAGAGTCCTTCAGGTTTAAACCAAGGTTGGAATTTAAGGGACATCTTTTGTTCAATATAATAAAGTTCTTTTTTTAATATAAAAGGTGTTCAGATGTGGATTGGATTGCCTCAGGAGGCAGTGAATCCTTCATTACTAGAAGTGCTTGGGGTAGGTCAGGGTTTCTCATACTTTAATATGCTTATGAATTACCTTGGGATTTTGTTAGAAGGCCTCCTGGTTTTATTTGAGAAAATCTGGGGTAGAGCCTGGTATTCTGCATTTCTAATAAGGTCATAGGCGATGCTGCTAATACTTAGTCAGAGACTATATTTTAGTAAACAGGAACTAGCCAACACTTTGAAAATAATGTTGTAGAATGCAATTCAAGCACAATTGCCTGATTCAGATAGATGACTTTCAACATCCCATACAACTCATGGATACTATATTTTTGAGAAATTTTGAATTTAAGGAAGAATTGCTTTCAATAATGAGATGAATGAGAACATGAAACTATCTGAGACCTATATCAACAGAAGCTACCCCCACCTGTCTTCTTGTCTGGAAGGAATTTACTATGGGGAAGAAAGCAAATAAGTTACGCTTTTCACATTTTGTTAAAATGTTTAGGAAGGATAAAAAAGTATAGAGGAAATCATGTAGTTTTATCACTTTAATACAATATGGTTAGCATGTTGTTAGACTTCTCTTTAGCATTTTTATTTAGGCAGAGGAAATTATTTTGAACATAGTTATAATAACTTAGTAACTTTTTGTAGCTTGGTGTCTTCAGTTAGGGTACAACTCCAGGAGCATTATACTCCATATTTTTAATGAATACTATCCCCTAGAATTGAGCAAGGTGCTACCCCTGATAAAACCTGTAAGAGTCCCTAGCAGGCAGCAAATATTCGGTAGATAATTTTCAGTGTTATTATAGTCTTTATGAGGGTATTAAATAGCCATTAAAAATAAAAACAAGTGAAATATTAATAAATATGAATAATTATCCATTTATCACAGTCTTTATATAAAATCATATAGGCATTCTAAATATAACAAAAAACATTGTAAGGATGTGGAAAAGTCTAAATGCATATTGAAAACAATAATAATTATGTCTTGTATCTTTAAAATATATACGAAATTAAAATAATGACCAAAGAGGCACATGAGAGATGAAATTAAATGTGGAGTTAAAAAAATTGAAAAACTAAAAATTAAAAAACAGTGGAGTTAAAGTACTGTCCAGGAAGATAATAAATATTAGACTTTGATAAGTCAAGGATGTATTTCTTTATCTTTAGGGTAGCCAATAAAAGAATAGAAAAATTTGTTTAATTACTAATCAAATAGGAAAATGAAATCATAAACATGTAATTTAAATCTTCCCTCAAAGAAACCCCTGGCTCAGAGAGTTTTACCCATGAATTCTGCCAAATATTTAAGAGGAAAGGTAACATAAATTCTCTCCAAACATTCCCAGAGAATAACAAAAAGGGAGTCCATCCTGTAGTGAGTTGAATGGTGGCCCCCTAAAATAAATTCACCTAGAATCTCAACATGTGACCTTATTTGGAATAGGGTCTTTGTAGATATAATTGTGGTAATAATTTCAAAATGAGGTCATGCTGCATAAAGATGGGTCTTAAATTCATAGACAAGTATCTTTGTCAAACACAAAAAAGGAGAAGGCACAAAGGCACAGAAAGAGGAAAGTTATGCAAAGATAGAGGCAGAAATTGGAGTTATGGAGCCCAGTAAATGCCAGAGAGTGCCTGCAGCCAGGAGAAGCTGGAAGATACAAAGGTAGATTCTCCAGTAGGGTTTCAGCAGGAACATGGCCCTAGTGACACCTTCACTGTGGACTTTAGGCCTTCAGAACTGTTAGAGAATAAAGTTTTCTTGTTTTAAGTCACCAAGTTTGTAATAATTCATTACATTAGCACTAGGAAATTAACACATCCCAACTTATTTTGTGAAGTTAGCATGTTCTTGATATCAAAACCTCACAAGATCATTACAAGAAAAAAATATTACAAGCCAGATTCATTTAGAAACATAAACAGAAAAGATTCTTAAAATATTAGCAAATAAAATCTGGCATAAAGGACCAGACAAAATTGCTTCTATTCCAGGAATACAGAGTTGGTTTAATCTTTGCATATCAGTGTAGTTCAGTAGATAAGGGAAGAAGATAAATATTTTAAAATCATAAGATTATATCACTAGATGCAGAGTGTTGATAAAATTTAACATCAATTCATTAATGTCTTGCAAACCAGAATTGACAGGGAACATTCTTTTTTACTTTTGAATTTTTATTAATTTTTTACATGAATACTCATTGATTATTAATTTATTATTAATACTTAATTTTAAAGTATATTTAAGTTAAATCCAAATTCCTCCTTAAGAAATAAAGTTCAGGCTTATAAATTTTATTCTATCCAAGCACATTCTAACAATTATTTGGGGGGAAATTATACTCTTTGAAGGCTTTAAACTGCATTCAGAAATTTTCACTGCTCCATTCTCTTTAGAGTACTTCAATTGTCTACAACTTAACTCTTAGAATTTTATTTTTAATCTTTTAAAGACTTTATTTATTTATTTTTAGAGAAAGGGTAAGGGATGGAGAAAGTGGAGGAAAAACAGATGGGTTGCCTCTAACATGCTCCCAACCAGGAAGCTGACCTGCAAGTTAGGCAGGTGTGCACCCTGACTGGGAATCAAACTAACAATGCTTCAGTTTGCTGGATGATGCTCAACCCACTGAGCCACATCAGTCAGGACTTAACTCTTAGAATTTTAATCTGAAATGTCAATGTGATTAGTTCTTCCTGTCTCTCATGTTCCCGTACTTGTAAACATAAGCCTAAACCTCTTATTCAATTATCTATTTTAAGTTTAAGCACAAGAATAATATTTTCCTCATGGGCAAACTTTTTATAAATTTTATCGCTAATACTTAAAAAAGCAAATGTACACAAATTGGTCTTAAAAATATTTGACTTACTTTATCATTTTTACATAGTTTGGAGAGAATATTCTTAATCAGATAAAAAGGCAGCTACAAAAAAACCTTCAGCAAAAAATATATTTAATGGTAAGATATTGATAGTTTTTCTTCTGAGTTTTGAACTGTACAAGAATACAAGTACCATTTCCATTTAACATTGTGTGGAACATCTCAGCCAATAAAATAGAGCCAAAAAAAAAAAAAAAAAAGGAAGGAGAGGTTATATGAATTGAAAATGAAAAAATAAAAGTATAACTTTTTTAGAAGTGATATGATTGTGTACAGAGAAAATCCAAAATCATCTATAGATAAATGTCTGCAGTTTATAAATGAATTTAGCAATGTTGCAGATTTAATGTTAATATATAAAAATTTATTATATTTTTATACATCAATAATAAACAGACAGTAGAGAAAAATTTTAAAGATAACCTTGCTGATAGTATTGCCAAATATCAAATGCTTAAATGCCAAGTAATAAATTATGAAGGATGTACAAGTCCTCTTGTGAAAAAAATTATGAAACATCACTTAGAAAAATTAAAGATCTAAGTAAAGTCTATTATCTTTTTTTTAATTGAAAGACTTAGCACTATAACTATCAATGCAGTTCTAATTAAAATTCCAGCAGGATTCTTAGGTGAAATTTGCAAACTGAATTGAAAATATGTATGAAAATACAAAGACCAAAAGTGGCCAATAATTTTTGAAGAAAAACAAGAGCAAGTGAGAAAACTGATTTTACTAGATATCAAACTTATAATAAATCTGTAATCCCAGATTTGTAAAGATGCTATACTACTTGTGCAATTATAAATAGATAGACCAATAAAGCAGAATAAAGAACATCAAAATAGATCCACACATATATGGACCTCGATTTATGATGAAAGTAGCACTTCAGTAGGCAAGTACAGTCTTTTCAACAAATAGTCAATAAGCTGTCCATATGAAGAAATTAAAGTTGACCCATTTCACACCATACTCCAAAAATTATTTTCAGTTATGTAACAAATGTAAATGAGAAAGACAAACCATATGCTTTTAAGAAGATGACAGAATATAATAACTTCATCACCTGGAAGTAGAGAAAAATTTCTTAAATAGAACATAAAAAGTGCTATCTATAAAGGAAAAGATTACTAAATCCTTCTACACTAAAAAGAAAGAGAGAGAGAAAGAAAGAAAGAAAGAAAGAAAGAAAGAAAGAAAGAAAGAAAGAAAGAAAGAGAAAGAAAGAAAGAAAGAAAGAAAAAGGAATTTCTTTATCAAAAGATATCTCTGAGAAACTGCAAAGGCAAGCCAAAGAATAGGTGAAAGTTTTTGCTAACATATAACTGCCAAAAAGTTAAAAATATTTAAGAGTTTATGCTAATCCATAAAAAAGCCTAAAACTCAAAGGAAAATGGGCTAGAGATTTAATAGGTACTTTAACAAGGCGGATATTATTAATATGGGAAATAAACATGGCAAGTAGCTCAGCTTCTTTAATAATTAGGGGAGTGCAAAATAAAACTATTAAAGTCCACATCCAACAGAATGACTAAAATTTAAAACTAATAATATCAAGTTTTGATTAGAATGTGTAGCAACAGAATCCCTTATATGTAGCTGGTAGAAAAGTAAATTGCTACACCCACTTTGAAAAACAGTTTGGCCTTATCTAGTCAATTTGAAGATATGCATTCTCCACGATTCAGAAATTTTTCTTCCAGGTATGTACCTCCCAAAAATATGTGCATGTGTCTACCAAAAGAGAGACATATATATGAATGTTTGTAGTGCAAAATTATAATAGCCTCAAACTCAAAGTAATGCAAATGTCCATTAAGTCAACTAGATAAATAAACTCTCATACAGTCATACACAGACATCCCTAAAACGAGGAAAATGAATGTAGTATATTTAAGCTCAAAGACATAAATGAATATCATAAAGATAATATAGAACAAAAAAATCAGACACAAGAGAAAAAAATATGGTACAATTCCATCTTTATAAAGGTAAAAAGAGAAAACTAAACTATTTTTAGAAGTCAGGATAATGATATCTTAGGGGAGGAGTGAGAGGGTAGTGATTGAGAGGGGGCACGAGGAGGTCTGGGAGCTGCTGGCAATGTTCTGTTCCTTTATCTAATGATAGTTTTATGGTATTAGGAGACTCAGTACTACAAGATGTAATTTCTCCTCAAATAGATCCATAGATACCATGTCATCTTAATAGGATTTTTTTCCCTTTTTGTGATAACTGAGAAGCTGATTCTAAAGTACATATGAAAGTACAAAGGGTCAAAAAACATCAAAAGTCTTAAAGAAAAACAAGGTAGGAAGATTTGCTTTACTAGATATCAAGGTAGATAATTCACTGAGCTGACACATTATGCACCTTTGGCATATATGTCATACTTTACAGTAAAAAGAGGAATGCTTAATGCATGGAATAGGGTAGATAGGGATGGCAACGTGATAAAGTTGAAGCTGGTTACCAAAATGTGTAAATGCAAGGGTGCAGGTTGCTGCTGGTACTCTACGTATTTAAATGAAGCTTTGTTCTCAGTGGTGATCATGGCCTGTGTAATAAACCCTCCAGACCACTAGAGGTCAACAGAAATAAGAACTTTGTCCAAAAGTTCAACTCTGGTTATCAGAAACCCATTTATTGTCATCTGATGCAATTTCCCAAGGTGCTTATCAAAGCTGTTTTTACCTTTACATTTTTTACTCCAGAATTTGCTTCTCCATACATCCTGAACAGCCAGATTTTGGACTATCACCTAGAATTGTCTTCGTGTCTAAAAAACTATCATCATAGCTAATCAAAATTTCTTTAGCCTTCCTCTTCTAATAGCTGCTCAACTTCATCATGACTTTAGTTTTCTTTATCCCTCTCTGTATTGTCTCAGTGCAACCATTACAGTTTTGTTTTCTTTCATTTCCAGCCTATGTATCATCTTCCATCTCTTCAACCACTCTCTGGCCAGAATCCTCAAGATCCTCTTCCTTGTCTCTTTGGCACTTTACAAATTCCTAACTTGGATCAAACCAACCTGTCACACAACAGTTTTTCTAAATCTTTCCCTCTTTCCTCAAGCCTATATCCTTTTCCCTAGAGAAGGGGAAAATTTCATAATATGGAACTGTAGACTCTTCCAATGCCAGAGCTGGAAGGAGTCTTATGTCATGTCTTTCTAATGCTCTTATTTTTTTTCTTATGAAGAAACAGCCAACCAGAACATTACCTGTCTGTTATTTCATTAACAAATGGTCCCATCTGGCACTGAAGCTTAATACCATTTTAGAGAACTCTTGTGCTTGACTTCTGCTCCCCTAAATTCCCCTGCTTCAGAGCTCACGTAGAACTGTGAATGTCAGAAATACATGGTGAATTGACAGGAATCTATGGGAAACACCTCCAAAAAAGAAAGTATAGAACTTACACCTGATTTCTGGACTTGGGCATAGATAGTAAGGCTTTTCGCTTCCACTGTTGGCTGGTGATGGTCTGCTTTACCTGGGGAAAAGAAACCACAGTAGTTATCTCCCTGTTTTCCAGCATGAACTTTCTGCTCTGACCTGTCTGGTTTGCCCCCACTGCTGCCTCTTTGCATACAGACCTTCCCAGAGAATATCACAGGAACAAAGCACTGAGTCCCAACCCTCAGACATATCTGTCATACGACATTGTTACTTGAACTCCCTGGGCCTATTTTCATATCTGTGAAATAGGTTGAAATAACCTGCCTCACAAGGCTGTTGTGATGATTAAATGAGACATTAATTGTAAAGTGTTTAGAATAGTGCCTGGCACATGGTAAATTTCCAATACCTGTTAAGTGTAATCAATTACTTTAGTCTTAATTTTCTGATGTGTGTATTTGGCATTTTAATAGGATTCTAAGTTCTTTAGGAGTAGGGCAAGTTATTTATACCTCTTTTGTATTCTTCAGCTCATAACTTGTTGGCCTCACTCACATGTTTCACTTCCCTGTTTCAGTGGGACTTAGTGTGTATGTGCAGGGGGGAGGGCGTATGAAAAGGATGATCTAGCTCTGTCCAGGTGGCTCAGCTGGTTAGAACCTCATCCTGATATGCCAGGTTCTCAGTTCAATCTCTGGCCAAGGCACACACAAGAAGCAACCAATGAATGCATAAATAAGTGGAACAACAAACTGATGTTCCTCTTTTTCTCTTTCCCTTCCTTTCTACCTCTAAAATAAATAAATAAAAAATAAATGTATAAGAAGGAGGATCTACCTGAGACTACTTGGAAAACAAAGCTATAATGCCATTATATTGCTTATCAACTGGAAATTTTGCTCAGAGCTCAGGGTATCTGGAAAGCAATAAGCTGCAAAATATTTTAATTTTTAACCAATTTTTTAAATTTTTAAATTATACAAATAATTTATTCTTGTTACAAAAATTAAAATTCTATAGAGTAAAAGGTATGTCCCTCTTCCCCATTAACCTATGCAATTTCATTCTCAGAAATAATTACTTTTGACAGTTAAATGTATATCCTTCTAGATCACTCATTTTTGACAATAGAACTTTCTGCAATGATGGAAATTTCACATTTCTGCAGTCTAATATGGTAGCCACAAGCCACAGGTGGTTACTGAGCACTTGAACTATGGCTAATGCACCAAGGGACTGAATTTTAAATTTGATTTGATTCTAATTAAATTAAATTTAAAAAGCCACATGTGCCTAGTGACTACCATATGAGACAGTGCGGACCTGTACACTTGCTTTACTGATACTGACTTTTTTTTATGCAAATGGGTCATTCCATACAAACTTCTCTGTAACTTGACCTTTTCACTTACAGTGTGTTGAGGACATTTTCTATGTATCTCATTCCTCCTAATGTTTCATGGTATTGTTTGCATGCACCATGTAGCGATGAGAAGGGTGGAGGGAAAGTAACACACTAAAACATGGAGGCCTATTTGGGGACTATTACAAAGTCCAGGCAGAGGCAATACAGACCTGACACAGAGGAAATTACAAAACAACTTTAGGGTACACTCATTTTAGTACCAATAATTTATCCTCTTAAAAACCAAGGAGCATGCCTCTGAGGGAACAGCATTTAGGAGAGGTATATTTTTCTTTCAAAGGGAAAGAATATGTGATTCTTTGGGAGAAAATGATGGGTAGCCATTGGGGAAACTCAAAGAATTCAAAGAATGTCAAAGTATAATTTTCTCGTGTGAGTGTGGGCATGGAGTGCCTGATGGTTCCAGCTTCACTTTTTTGGTCAGGGTTGATACTGGCTGAGGAGTGTGTGTGTGTGCATGCATGTCCATCTATGTAGAATGGGAGATAGGAAGTGAGGTGATCAGAGGAGGTAACAGAAAAGGTGCAAATTAGTTCTCTGAAAAATATCCTTTCAGTTCAAATCCACAAGTGTTTGCAAAGTTAGGAGTGACCCACCAGCATTGCCCTAGTTGCTATAGGAGAACAAATAGAGAGAAACCCTTAGTTTTTAAGGGCTTTCAGTCTTATAGATCAGCTCAGGCTGAAATTTAGAATTGTGGGGTCAGTCCTAAATGGTCAGATGGAAAAAGTAAGGTTGAATATTGCTTCTCAAAAAGACCACTGGATCGAGATCATTTAGTCTCATATTCAGTTCCCCATGAAAGAACAGTTTTTCAGTTGCTAGCTCAACTCAGTTTAAAGTCCGAAAGGCTTTCAGGTCTAATGAAAAGAGCTGTAGAATTAAGGCATCTACATTCTAGCCTCTATTAGCTGTGTGGCACTGGACAAAACATGTCATCTGAATGGGTCTCTTCTTTTACTATAACTGTAAAGTGAAAATGTAGACTGTCTAATGTCTTTTTTCAGCTCTCACCTCAAGCATAAAGCTACCATGATTTCAAATACTTTAAATCTTTAAAACTAGGTACTGTTCCCATATGCTTCCTATTCTGTCTTCTGCTTGTCATAAAACTTAAACATTGATGTTTTTAACTTACCAATATTAAGAGGCTTGTCTATGTATATGTGTGTGTGTATGTATGTATCTACCTATCTACCATCTATCCATGAAAGCCACTGTATCCTGTGACTTCTGTGTATAAACTCATGGATCCCTGAAACAATACCATGAAATATACAACATCGTTCTTATTTTGCAGAAGAGAGGTTAAATCATTTGTTTGCCCTCACAACTTGTCAGTGGCCAAGTCTGCATTGAGTATAAGTTTGTCTAATGGCAAAGTCTATGTTCTTAATTAGTGTATTCTGGATATGAAATTGCCAGAGTCCATTTGAAAACATTCAGAGTCCAGCTGCATTCTGGAGGTGGCACCATTAGAAACTGCCAACAGAACCTCTTGAGCAGAGTCTTTTGGAGGGTACAGCAATTAAGAATAAGTTTTTCAGAGACAGACTCATAGATGGAGAACAGATGACAGCTAGTAGCAGGGTGGTGAGAGGGTGGAGAGATTGAACAAAAAGGAAAAAGGACTCATGGACATGGACAACAGTGTGGTGATTGCTGGGGGAGAGGGTAAAAGGGCACTAAATGGTAATGGAAAAAAACATATATAATAATGATGATATATTTTAAAATATATTTTTTAAAAGTAGGTTTTTCCACAGGTTGACGCACAGCTTTTGTGTTCCTGGCTGACAAGGAATACAGGGTGACTAGAGATGAGGATGGATATGTATGTTGGGATGGTGGCAGGCAAATGTAATGGGATGGAAATTACTAGTCCTTTCAGAGCACAACCACCTTATGAGTAGACTGTAGTTGAGGACAGAATGTGGGTGAGGATCCCAGCACCTTCCACTAACTAGGTTAACATAGGTGTGTTAATTTGCTTTCTCAACCATGGAATCTCACTGTTCCCTTATTATCTAAGCCAAATGTGGTTGCCCTGCCCCATTCCCTTAGGCTGTCCTCTATACTTTCTATCTGAATTGCCCCACTTCTCACCTCCTCTCCAGCTAACTCTTAGATGAAGGAAATGAGACAAAAGTAGGTGGCTGTGCTGTGATCTAGATTTTCTTAAATAGGCAAAACCAACTTCACAGTGCTGATGTAAGGGCTTTTCCGAGAAGGTTACATGTGGGCAATATGGATCTTCCTGAGAATGAGATCAGCCATCAGTTTGATGGCACGAAGATCAAGTTCTCTCCTCACCAAGAGAAGGCCACCCGGGGATCTGTGCTGGTCTTGGTTCAGGGTCTTCTTACTCTAGTGTGGGTGGGTGAGAAAAGTGTGGTGGAGGGGAACACACTGCTCTGAGATACTGAATCATAGGACAATTTGGAGGAGAGGACAGAAGAAACTACTTTCAGGCACTTAAACTGCACCAAAATAATTAGGTTTTAATGGTTTCAGTCTACCATGGGTGGCTTTCTATATACTATTTAGTTTGGCTTTAAATGACCTCAGAAATTGCACACTTTCCCAGGGTAAATAAGAATTTGTGCTAAAATCCTAGTGAAGAGTGTTCTCCCTGCTTTCTTCTGATGAACAGTGGGCCTTCCCAATGGAATGCATCCTGGTAGTTGGGAAACATAGTTACAGTTCTCATTCCCTCACCAACCATCTGGGTGACCTTGCACAAGTCTTAGCCTCTGTGCCTCTGTTAGCCCACTGCTAAGTCACATAAAAACAACTACCCTACTTCTCCTAGAGGGATATAGTAAGGATATAAAGAAATTATGGAAAGATCACAACACTTTAGATGTATAAAAAAGATGTATAAAAAAAATCTTTTTATAATGTCCTTTCCTTAGTCAGTAATTATTACTTTTCATGAATCTTCTGAATTCTGCTCCTACTGAATACTGTTAAGCCTCTTGTTTGGACCCTTTCACCAGTATGTGATATTGAATCTAAATTATCTACGTATAATGTCTCTCATGTTAGATATCTATGGCTCATCTCTCTTTTTATCCCAAAAGCCTAGTATAGGGGATCAAAACATTTTGAATTAGACTGAATTGAACAAGGTCACAAGATATGTTTGTTCGTTTTTTGCAAAAATGCTCCCTGAAGAAAGCTAAAGTGAAGAGACCAAGTTTGTGCTTGTGGTGAGAGGTCCCTGCTTACCACAGAGAGTCTGATAAGTATCTCTTTATTGGCAGACACCTACCTCTTCTTGTCAACAGTAGTATTACCACTTGAAGAATCATGATGACACCAATGATGCCCCCTAAGAACAGCCCAGCATACAGTCCCCATTGTCTTGATACTGAAAAAAAAGTCAAAGGGCAATCTCAAATGTACTGTGAGTGTCAAAACATCCTACAAAGAGGTGAGGAAGATGAACATGAGTCTTGTGTTCTCTTTCTACATCCTCTCTGAAGGGAGACATTTGTTTTCTGAGTTTTAGAGATCAGTTTTAGACTGCTGAAGATTTTCATATCTGTTTTCTTATCCTCATTTCTCTAAGTTTGAATTTCATACTCCTGGTTTCTGTCAAGATTTTTCTATTCAAATGCTTTATTTTTAATTCAACTACCACATTACATGTCTAAAATCAAACTTATCTTTATTTCTCCTCAGTCATCCCCTCTACGTAGTTTTCTATTTTAAAATCTCTAATATGTTCTGTATCCATTCTGATAAAAAGAACATGATGGTTTCATGTGCTGTCCCCATACTCCCACATCATTCTCCTGATACACTAGGAGGAAGTTCTACTTTGGTTTTTTAAAAATAAACATAGTAGTGCTATTATTGTTCTTCCATGCAAATAACTGTATTGAACCTACTAGACCTGAACTGAAAGAAAAGCAAGTATTTTTACTCTCAATCATTCCCCTGTTCAATATTTTCTCTAGAGTACCAATCATTCAGGTTCAAAATCAGAGAGCCAATTTTTATAACTTTCTCTCCTTTACCCATGTTACCAAATCATTCTGAACCAAGGAGCACTTTTTTTTATTGAGACCTATTGTTCCTACAAATGTATTGTAAATAAAACATTTAGCTCAATAAGATAACAGACAATTCTGAAGCATTTACTATGGGCCAGGCATTTTTTTTTTAGTGTATCATCTGTATTGATATATTTAATCCTCACAACAATCCCATGAAGTAGGTACTCTCATTACTACAATTTTGTGGGTAAAAAAGCAGCTGTGGAGATCCTGAAGCACTAGAGCTTGATCCAGGTGTAGAAACATACTGAAAATAAACTTTTTGGAGAGTCAAAGAGAGTTCTGGGCTTGAGGTAAGTTATGTCAATGTAACGAACACTGGGGGCCAACTTGAACACTGGAGTTCTACATAAAATAATAGCATTAATGTTCTAAATAGTATACTTCCAGGTGTTAACATTAATGTGTAAGGGTAACTTCGCAGAATAGTTGTGGAATAAGCCTGTTGTTGAACCTGTGATGAATATGTTGGGAAGAAGCTGAAAGGAAGGAATAGGTAGATTACAAAGGAGCAGAGCGCTTGCAGGTACAACTCAGATGTCTACAGACTGAATTGAGAAAAGGCATTCCTCTGAGATCCAAGTGGGCCTTCAGCCTCATAGCTAACCAGAAGTTGCCTCTTGGTTTTTAAAAGAGTCTCTCTTTTTCTTCCTAGGCCTTTCAGACATCAAGTCATCCCAAAGAATCTTACTGAACTGGCTTTGTAAACATCTTGATTATAGATCCTTTTCCCCAAATTAAATATGAACATGGAATCCCTGCTGAGGTTGGAGTTGCTCTGTGAGCAGCTTCCCTATGAATGACCACTCTGAATGGCTTCTGGTTGCTGAGAACCCTCTGTGTAGGTGTGTGTGTCTGAGAGAATGAGTGAGAGACTGATTATTCAGGGCTTATGTTGCCAGCACCAGGGACCTGTGGAGAAACTTCCAAAATTCTATGATAAGAAGCAGAGGCAGCAGCCTGGGCACTACCATGTCTCCTCAGCCCATGGAACTGGCCAGCAAATTACTATAGTAGCTTTTCTTGTTTTGAGACAATTTCCTATTTCTTTTTCCCACATGTATTTGGGGACCTTCTAAAACAACAGTTAATTTAAGAGAAAATACTCCAACCATTTAAATCATTTTAAAAGGTAATATTTCTCTCAATTTTTTTGAGATAAAAATAAAATAAAACAAACAAGGCAGTACCTCTAAAGCCAGAAAATAGCAGATGGAAAAACTGCATCAGTAACACCTGTCAACTGAGCCTTTCTCCTGCCCCCTGGGGCCTTTGCTGACAGCTCTGTCAAGCCCTTACTCAAGTAAATGGACAATGTCTAAGGCAATTTATTGAGGCTCAGAGGACATAATGACTCCAGCCCTGTCTTTCTTTTTCTTCATTTATTTTTGCTTTTTAAGTTTTTTAAAAATTTCAATTACAGTTTACTTTCACTATTATTTTCTATTAGTTGCAGGTATATAGCATAGTGGTTAGACAATCATATACTTTACAAAGTGTTACCCCAATATTTACAGTACCCACCTGCACTATATGTAGTTATTAGAATATTATTGACAATATTTCCTGTCCCATACTTTTTATCCCATGACTATTTTGCAACTGCCAATTTGTACTTCTTAATCCCTTCACCTCTTTCACCCAGTCCCCCAAATCCCTCTCCTCTGGCAACAACCAGTCTGCTCCTATCTGTCTTTTCCAGGGTCTCAGGAGGATGAAAATTATCTGCTACCCTTGTCCTATCACATAACGACCAGTGTCTGCCAGTCCAGTCAGATATAAGAGGCAACCTGGCCATATTCCTGAAAGAGATTTCATAATCCTTAATTTTTCTCCTAGTCTTTAGATATAAAGTAATACAAATCTATTGGAGGATTTAAGTTATAGGACCATAGACTTTCCTAGGGAACTATAGTGCTTATCTCACCCAACTCAGTAATTTCATGTCAAGAAGACTGAGACACAGACAAGTGTACCCAGAGTCACAGAAGAAGTTGGTGGCAGAGCTGGGTAAGATGAGAACTGCACACATTGTGGTTTGTGTTTTAGCAGTAGCAGGCTGGGATGCCTGGGAGACCTCATGAACCAAAAGCTCTCTGAGGTGTCAGCTCATCTCTTCACCATTTTCCATCCAACACCTGCCCATTCCTGTCCCTCATGCTCCACTCCCCTACTCTTCCCCTGCTGCACATTCAGCTATCTTCCAGGCCTGCTCAGGCTTTGACTTTTAGGCAAATTTTACTTTCTCTGTGTCATTTTACTTGATGATTTTAGCCCCCATTTTTCCCTTTACCTTGGACTCTGCAGCACCTTGGTTTATGGCATGCATCTTAGAACCTGAGCTGTGACATTATCTTTGCTGTAGAAACCATTTTCAGTGAAGGCATTTGGAACCACAGATGAATTCAAATTTTAGGCCTACCACTTTAAAGCTCTATGGCCTCAGATAATCTGCCCACACCCTCTGGAACCTCAGTCTCCTCTTTTACAAAATTCATATAACAATATTCAGTTCAGAGACTTGTTCTGATAAACCAATGAAATAATGTATGGAAATCACCCAGAGCAATGACTGGGACTCAGCATGTGGTGAATAAATGTTAACTCCTTCCACTAGCCTCAATTCCCCAACTAGCTGCTAGATTCTTGGAGGCCAGAGACCATCTCTTCACTTCTTTTGCAACTCTCTTAGTACTTGGTACATATAGGTCCTCAGGAAATTCTTGCTGGTTGATTGGAAGAACAAGGAGATAGGTTTGATTTCAAGTTCAGAGGAGTCCCTTTACTGATGTCCAGAGATGCTTCAGCCCAATCCTGTATTTTGCTTATCACTTAGTTTCCTGAGCTGTCTAGCAGGCCTCAGTATATTTTCACTTTGTGCTCATCTATTTGATACTATCTAATTATGATATTTATGTGGAAACTAAATGTCAGGGACTCTATGCCCTCAGGAATTTGGATGAAGACAGATAAAGTGCTCTTTTTATGGCTTGTGATCAGGCTGCTCAAAATTTCTGTTGATTCTAGCAATAACTTCCTTGTGGTTCTCTTAGCCTTTGCTTCTGCAGCCCCACATACTCTAGTCTAATCAATTTACACACACACACACACACACACACACACACTCCAAAACCAAAACCAAAAATCTAAGCTAAGAATTTTATGAGTTTGAGTCTTCTACTGTAGATCTGAAAGGTCACAGGGAGCAGACTCCATTGTGAACCAGGCAGCTTAAGCTCAGACCATTTCTTTCTCTTCCTATATCTACATCATCAACGTCTTCCCCCTTTCTCATACCGAACCATCAAACCTACCTCCATATTTTGTAGGGGTGAAAAGGGGTCTCAACTTCTGCCCTCTAGCATTTATTAAGGTACTACCCTAAACAAACACTGTTCTCTTCCAAAGAAGAATTCTAGTAGTATTTTCTTTAATACAATAATATTTTTTCTACCTTGTAAGGTATAGAAACCCCACCTAGGTGGTAAGTTACTGGAAAATAAACCCTGTACCTTATGCTTTATTTACATCCCCCACACTAAATATACATGTGATGAACTAAATTAAACTAGATGCCACAGAAAGAAGCTGGGAGAAGATTGTCTTGAACCTTTTTATTAAGAATTATCAGAGTGCTAAATATAAGGAGGTCTCAGGAAGAATGTAGTATCACCTTCTGAATGGCCCAGGGCAGGAGTAGAAGGGAACGAGCAATGACCTACTTGGGATATGCTTTATAATAACACATGGAACCTGGAAGAAAGTGGGTCTGTACTGTCAGTACCACCTGTGTTCCCATTCTCAAACCACCATTTCCTGTGGTAGAAACTCCAACTCTCCCTCTTTTTGCTCAGATATGGAGTGAGGCCTCTCAGAATGTTGATGCTCAAAAATCAGACCAAGGTTGTTGGGCTGCTCTAGGGTCCATGGGCCTCATTCATTCACAAAGAAACCCTATTTGAAATTCTTAAACAGCAAATTTGGTACATTCCCTGCACACATCCTCCCCTGAAAGCCTCTTAGAGAAAGCTAAGCAGGCTGGCTGAGAACTCTGCGAAGTCCTTATGAAGAGTACTGTGCACGAGCCTCCACCTTTTGATCCTCTACTCTTTTGGCTGTTGTTTAAACATGATAAATTGGCCAGTAGTGGTGCCCCCAAGAAAATGCCAGAAAACTTTTTTTCAATCTCTAAAGGTCTGCTGCCACAGAAACACAAAAGCTCACCTCTCTCCTCAAGTCTCCAAACCTTAATCTTTAAGGGAGATAAAGAAGAAAACAAAAACGAATCTGAGAAACAAATGCAGCTTGTAGTTCACCCCAGAAGATACTGAGATGCTAATGTAACGGTCTGAGAATGCCAGATCTCTTTCCTGCCTTTCATGTGGTTCTGTCAGCAAGGCTGCCTGTATGATGTACATCTACTCAAAGAAGTCAACCATATTCAAGACATACCTTCTTGTTGGTGGCAATTTCCACCCAGAATTGGGGCTGGGGGAAAGGTGCTTACAAACCATACACCAATTTAAGATCTGAGATCATCTTAAAAATTTTTTAAAAACATTTTTAAAAAAAGTTTTTACAGAATTCACAGCTTCCAGAAAGATCCCTTATACCTGCCCATCCCATCCAGCATTGTGTTGTAGAAGCAACTAGTTGTGCCTCCACTGCCATTTCCCCTATTCTTCCATGGGCAAGACTTGTCTTAGACAAGTGGCTGCCCAGCTACACTTCTCAGCTTCCCTTCTAGCAGGTGTGGACATGTGACAAGGTGCCCTACCACCATTGTTGTCATGGTTGCTGGATTGGGAGTAACATGAGGGACATGCCCCTGTGCAGGAAACATCTAAGTCACTCTGTAACAATGGGAGCTCTCTGTTGAACAAAAGGCAGTGGTAGAAAGGGAGAGCCCCGGGAGCTCACTGGCAGGTGTCAGCTTTTTCTTCCACTGAGCTAACCTAGACTTGCTGAGCCAGCTTTTTGCCAATCTACAGAAAAAAGTGTCTTCTTTTCAAGATGAGCTTGCAAGGTTTTCTTTTGGTTGAATTATTTAGAGTTTTTTCTTCATGTTGACATAGACATAATTATTTCAAAACACAGTCATGAAGGACAGCAGCAAGTCACACTGTCCAATGATAATCCACATCAGCATGTTTTGTGTGACCTAGTGAGAGTACTTTGTAGCACCCCAGGATTTGGACTTTGAAGTAAAGATGCTTCATAATGATAGCCATTAAGGAGTTTCTTACTGTAAAACACTGAAATGGCAATTGGAATAAGGATGACTATACTACTGAGCACCTCATAGAAAAAAAGAGTATGAGGAACAAATATGTTTTGTGCAGTTTAGTTTGAGTCCTGACAAGACACAGTGCAGACACTACATCACATTTGATCTCATTACACTATTAACCACTTTGAATTTTACAATAATAAAAGTAAAAAAATGTCTTAAAATTACTGTACTCATGAAAGATGGTGAAGTGACCTCTAATAAACCCTCAGATTGCACCACTTCATCCGAAGTCTGAAGTCTTTGATAAACTGGCACTGCATTGGCTCAAGCCTCATCACGTTTTGATGGATTATTGCAATAATGGCCCCTTCCCATAACTAATTCCTCCTTCTTCTTCCCTGACCCAGTCTATTCTCCACACCACTGAATTTTCTCTCTGAAATGAAAAACTGATCATGTTACTCCTCTCTATCTAAAACTCTTTATTACTTCCTATCACTTACAGGATGATCCAGAACAAGGCCCAGCTGTACCTGCTTTTCTCTTTGCCTGAAATGTCTTTCTTTTATCTGCTTTGGTAATTTCTATTTATTTTTCAAAGCCCACTTTGTCATATCCACTGTGATGTTCTTTCTGATTCCCTGAGACAGCACTAATCATTCTCTCCTCTTTGTTACGTTGCACATACCTATTTTACACCTATCACACTAAACAGTCTAGGATAATTATTTACTTACAGAATTGACTCCTTCCTTAATGGCAAAGAAATGCCTCTTTTTTTTTTGTCTCTGCTTACTCAGCACCTTATATAACGCTGAAACATTAGTAGAACCTCAGTAAATTTTTGTTGAACTAAGCACAGTATCTTAAGAATTAGTAGTATTCATTTGTAAACACAAGTCAATGAATTAATAAAAAAAACTTTTTTCAGTATTTAGTCAAACTGGTGTATTGGGACTAGCATGCCACAGACTAGCTGTGGGGGCTGCTTTTGACATGCTGTTGGTCTCCATCCCTAAAGGCAAGGGAAAGGATCTCTACTTGTGTTATGGCTTGAATTGTGTTTCTCCAAAGTTCATAGGTTAAAGTCCTTAGAATGTGACCTTATTTGGAGATGAAGTCTTTACATAAGTAATCAGGTTAAAATAAGGTCATTACAAGCTAAATTTTTTCCCTCAAAATTCATATGTTGAAGCCCTAGTCCCCAGTACCTCAGAATGTGACTGTATTTATAGATAATGTCTTAAAAGAGGTTATTAAGTTCAAGTGAGGCCATTGGGTGGGCCTGAATCCAATCTTACTAGAGTTCTTAAAAAAAGAGTAAATACGGACATACAGAGACCAGGGATGTTTATGCACAGAGGAAAGACCATGTGAAGACACAGGGAGAAAACGGCCATCTAGAAGCCAAGGAGAGAAGCCTCAGGAAAAAAGCAACCTTGCTGGCACCCTGATCTTGGACTTCTAGCCTCCAGAATTGTGAGAAAATAAATTTCTGTTATTTAAGCCCCTCAGTGTGTGATATTTTGTTACAGCAGTTCTAGAAAACTAATTATAGCTGGGTCTTAATTCAAGATGACTGATGTCTTTATAAGAAGGGAAAATTAGGACAGAAATATTTATGGAGGGAAGACTACATGAAGAGACATAAAAAAGATAGCCATCTATAAGCCAAGGAGAGAGGTCTGCAACAGATCCTTCCCTAAGGGCCCTAAGAAGTAATCAACTTTGCCAACACCTTAGAGTAGTACCTATGAGGATTCCAGAGTTAGGCAACTTAGCTCTGTCACTTGCTCTATCTGATCTTTTTATGTTTTTATTTCCTCATCTGTAAAATAAGGATACGAATACTATTATACTTTGTTGCTGTGAGAATTGAGATGCTACAATGAAGACCTGTCAGCTATTATTTTAGACACAGAATCTAAATCTTAGGTCAAGTGATCTATCTGTGTAACTAAAAAGGGCAGGATTGGATCTAGAATCTCTGGGGCCATGTTCTGCAAACTCTAAACTATGCAACACTGCTTTCTTGGTCTCACCAGCACATTCTGAACGACTTTGGGCAGGGAGAGAGGTCTGAACTGTGGGAGAGTTTCAATGTAGTTTGTATAAAAGGTGGACAAGCAGCCAGACACATTTAGTAGGTAGGCAGATGATTGACACTGCCACAAATGTCTGAGGAGGCAACACGAATGGCAGGTTGAGTTCACTAAGGAATGCGGATGCAGATTGGAGGCCAGGCAGCATTCCTCACCCCACCCCACCCCCCAGTTCATCTGGGAATATCTCAAGGGAGTCTCTGACTGGAGGTGCTTGGCTGAAGGGCATAAACTGGCTGGCTTTCCTGGTCTCCCCATCTCTGGTCATCCGGATATCCCTCCATATAAACACCAAGCCTACTGTGGGCAAGAGTTTCCTTAGAGACTCCCAGTGGATGCAGAGAGGGAATGTTAGGGCATAAGTAATGCCTTGTAAGACCAATACCCTGGTCCTCTGTCCCTGAGACATGAACACAAAATATGTTGGTAAAAAGAGTCAGTGTTTATCTTGTTTCCAACTTTAAGTGGTTATACGGGCTTACTTAATCAGCCCTCCCTTCCTTTTGATAACAAAATAATGGAGCTTTTCTTTCTAGAGAAAGAAAATTAGAAGATCAGGTTTAGGTGCTGACTCTACCATTTACAAGTTGAAGAAACTTGAGAAAGGTAGGCAGTTAAATGCTGTGAGCTTCAAGTGCTTCCTCTATAAAATAAGGATGATGCTGGTAAGGTTATTGTGAGGATCAAAAGAGATTGTATAACTGAAAGTGCTTTGTCAATAATAAAGTGCTATACCATCTATCTTTATTCCTATACTTCCCGGTCCAGGTCTTAAGAGAAAAATCTCCCTGGGTTCTCTCACTTGCTGTGGGATCCACTGCCAGTTCTGTAAAAGCAACCCTTCATCACTTCCTGCTTTTCATTATTGAGCAAATGTTTTATGTCTTATCTTTACAAGATGTTGCTGGAGAGTAGATCTCATGTCATACCTATTTCCAATTTCCTACAGCGTAAGTGATCAGTAAATAACTCACTGATGGTATAGAACTGTCCCACCATTACCTGCTACCCACAATCCCTCACCCAGCCACCCCTGCTGACTGGAGAAAGGCAGGAGAAGAGAAGAAGGATCATAACTTGGACACCCAGGCTCTGGGTGTGCCTCCATCATTTCTTATTGGTTTCCTAAATGGTGAACTGAAGGTAAAATGTTATCAAGGTGAAGGCCATGGCTGTGGAAGCAGAGCAATTGGTCCAGGTAGGGACTGAGCCCAGATTATTAATATGGCACACGAGCCACTACTCACCTGGGGGATATGACCTGCAACTGGACCATGGGATGACGGTCTGAGAACGGTTGCTGATTGGGTTGCTTGCAGTGCAGATGTAGGTACTGTCAGCATGCTGAGGGCCGAGGGTGAGATATAGGAGGTGAGAGCCATTGGCTATAATCAGCGGTTCGGTGCCTGCCTCCTTGCTCCAGCTGTAAGTCACATGATCTCCCATCTCCACTTTGCAGGCCAGCATCAAGCTGCAGTTTCCATTCTCCTGGGTCAAGTTCAACACCTTAATTTCTGGAGTGGAGACTCGCTCTGTCAGGAGGGGGAGGAAGGGAGCCATCACTGAAATGAACCCCCTGGAATTCTGACTTGATCTTTTTGTTAGAAGAAAATGCAGCCTAGTGGTATTTTCCCTCACAGCGGGTCTGCAAGTGTGATTTATTTCTAGTAGGGACCTACTGCTCTGCACCATCCTTGTCTTTCCACATACTCCCTTCCAGGACCACTTTGGGGTTAAATAAAGAAAATATTGCCTTTTAGTTCTCTCCTACCAACACTGTTAGGAGTCCCCATACCTTCCCTGATGCCTTTGACCCAGGCTATTCTCCTGTATTCTATCTGTGGAGTTTGCTGTCAACAAATCCTCCATAGGTTTGGTTGTCATTGGCTAAAGTATCATCTCTGTGACCTAAAAGAACAACTTTTTAGTGGTTGAATTTCATTGTGTGTGTGTGTGTGTGTGTGTGTGTGTGTGTGTGTGTGTGTGTGTGTGTCCAGCGCTTTAGAATGTCTGAAGCAGGGATAACCACAGGCATCATTGACCTATCTCACTCTAATGCCATGAAATAAGCAGAGGAAAGGAAAATGTTTTATTTATTTAGTAACTATTATACATTCTTTAATAGTCTCAAAAACTTTCTCAATAATTTCAACCCTAGTTATAAACTCATTTCATAGATGAGGAAACTGAGTTCCAGAGAATTGAGTACCTTATGTAATGTCACTCAGCTTATAAGCAGTCAAGCTGAGATCGGAACCTATGTCTATCTGACTCAAAAATCCAGCCTCTTCCTTTGACTTGAGAAGAATGCCATGGTTGCAGAGACCATATTTTCTAAGATAAGAATTTCATCCAAAAATGTGACAAGAGGTCAAAAAGGCACTGAATTGTTCTGGAAAATGCATGCTCATGACAGTCTGTGCCAGGACCACTGTGGGAGTGATCAGGACTCCCTGGTACCTGCTGGAGGGCTGTAGAAATTCTCCATACACTCTTTGGAGGAAAAGAGCCACTAGGGGCAAGGATAAGGTACAATGAGTATTGCTGTCTCTCCTGTAGGTACCTTAGGATTTCAAAGACATGCTGGAGAGTGCATAGGGCTCCATGTCCCCAACATCAGAGGTAAAAAAGCCACTGTGAAGAAGCAGGACACCCTACATGGTGATGAGAATCTCTGGGAATTCAAGGGAACCTCTGGGCTCAAGAGACACTAACTGAGTGCCTTCCAGAGGGGCTGGAATTAAACGGGCTCAAAACAGCACTGGCATAGGATTCAGATGAACCTAAATTGTAGTATAATTCTGCAACTAAGTGACATAACCAGAGGCTTTGTTTAAATAAGAAAAGGATGCCTCTTCCCCCAAGAAGATGCAATGCTATGCCATGGCACAGGACTTGGAGAGTGGTGTGGGGGCTGTTTCAGCACTCCTTCTCCTAGGACTCCTAGTGCAGTGAACCACCCACACAAATGTGTGAAATCATCTGAAAACTACTTTTCTGGATTTCAGTGTCCTCATCTATGAAATAGAGGTGGAGCTTGATCAGTGGTATTTAAACTTTTTAAAAATCAGGGGAAAAAAACCCACCTTTTTTTTTAAACAAAATCTTATTTGCAAATTGAGGTTCTTGGGGTTCTGGTCCCTCTAGCACACAGGAGGCTAGACTCCTTTCCTTTGGGAAATTGGGGTAAGGATGACTAATGCCAATCAGCTATCACAGTGTGCATTTTGGACAAAAAAGATTTGTGATCCTTTAACACTTCTTCCTAAAGCAGTTTAAATGTCCCCAGACTAGATGACCAAATTGCTCCCAATTCTGAATGCTCTTTGCTTTTGAGAGGCCTAAGCTCTTAAGCTAGGGACCATCTTGGCCTGCCACTGTGGAGAAGCCATCATTATTACCATAGAGCTCCAGCTGCAGGCAAAAGTTCTGGACTGAAATGTTTCTCTCCAGGGACATAAAATACCAGCCCTCATTCTCCTTCTTGCTTTCCAGGATCCCCAGGTTCAGGTTTTCCAGATGAAACTTATAGCCATCTTCCAGGTATTGTGGAGAGCCCCCTTTCGGCAGACCAAGAGACACAATTTTCTTATTGACGCTGTTTCCTGGTGATTCTGTCTTTGTGACGATGATGCGGATGCTCTGGTTCATACTCTCACTTATCCCTTTAGGTATCAGGGGCAGCAGCACGCTGCTTCCCAACTGCTCACGGATTGTTGGGCAGTCCATCAAGCCCTCAACTGTGGGAAAAAGAATAAAATAGTCCCTTATTATGGGGGTCTTTGAGAATCATATCCTGTCTGTGGGTCAGAAATGACAGACTAGAGTCTCTCTCCCTTCCTCTTGAACCATCCCTAGGCTTGCCAAGCCTTAGTGGTCTATAAGGACTGTCATGAGGGTCCTATTGTATTTGAAATATTCCAATAGAAATCTTGAAATTACTTATTATATAGCTGTACAGACTGAGACACTGGGTTTCTTTGGTCTGGGAGGGAATTCTGTCAACTGAGATTTATAGTTAAGGTACCTAAGACATAGAGATGTTAAATGACTTCCTTAAAGTCACATAACTAGCAACTGAACTAGAACCCAGGTCTGTTAATTCCTCAACCAGACTTCTCACCACTGTATACTATGAAGAATGGAGAGGAACTAAAAGTGATTCTGAGCTCATGAGCCCAGGAGACCAAGGTTATAGGAGCATCATTGCTGATGATGAGGAAAGAGAAAAGTTGGAGGAATGTGGAGTCAGGGAGGTTTTGAGCCAAACATTCAAACTGTGGTATCCTAGCCCTCCAAAAATCTGTAAAACAGTAAATTGTGTTGAGGATAAGAAATTATTTCATTTTTCTTTTTCAAAAAGGCTGGGCCAACAACAACTGAAAGAAAAAAACCAAAATCTTTCAAACCATTGCTGATTATTTAACACTTCCTCTCCCCTCAAACCATAACCCTGCTTCTCATTTCACTGAATAAGTAGAAAAAACAAAAAGAGAACTTCCATTAATTATCACCACCAAATCAACTTACCTACTTGAGTGGATTGTCTATGCTCCTGTTTAAGGCTAGCTTCCTCCTTCATGGAACACTCACCTCCTTCAAGGCTTTGCTCCTATACTTGCCCCACCCCTTGCACCATCAGCTTTATCATGGTATGATATGTTGAGGCTTATTTCCATCAACACACAACAAACCACCATATAATTTTACTCATCTTAAAAAACACTCTCCTGATTCCAGGTCTACCCCCAGCCATCTCCTCATTTCTCTGTTTTTCATTATTGCAAAGTCCCTTTATGTGTGCTTATATTTTCCATCTCCATTTCCTGACCCATTTCTCCTTACACTCACTCTGAACAGGCATTCTTTCCTACTGATCACTGGAATCACTCTTGTAAAGGTCACTGTATATTCCATGATAACAAGTCGATTCTCCATCCTAATCTTGCTTTCTCAGGAGTACTTGACATAGTATCTCACTCCCTCTTTGAAACACTGTCTTCATTTGGCTCCTAGAACATCACACTCTCTTGATTTTCTTTCTATTTTATTGGGTGCTCCCCTTGAGTCTCCTTGAAGGGAACCTTCTGCTCTTAAAGAACTCTAAGTATTGGAGCATCATAGGACTCATACTCAGACCTCTTCTCTTTACCAGCCACACCCATCAAGTTGCATAATTCAACATATTTATGAAATGCTTACAGAGATATATCTTTCATCCAAGCTTTTCACTGTACTTCTCAGTATTTGGAGGTCTAAAGGGCATTTCTAACTTAGCAAATGAATTTTTGATTCCAGAGCCCCTTCTGCAAACAACATCACAATTCCCCAAATTCTAAGGTGAAAACACAGGGACCATCTTTGGCTTCTTTCTTTTTCATACTACACATTCAGTTTAGCAGCAATTCCTGTTGGCTCTGCCTTCCAAATATGTCTAGCATCCCAGCACTTCAGACCTCATTTGTTTCTGCCACCGTCATCATGGGCCTGGGTACTACCATTGTCTTCCACCTAATCTCCTGCATCCATATAACAGACAGGGTAATCTTTTAAAACTATGTCAGATTTTGTTTCTACTGCTTTTAAACTCCCAGGACTTTCTAGTACCCATAGAATAAAAATCCACAGTCCTTGTTCTGGCTTCAAAGACTCAACAACCCAGCTCCTGGTACTGCTCCAACTCCAGCTCCTTCCACCTCTTTCTGCTGTCTGCACTGTGGACATACTGACTCTGGCTGTTTCTTTACTTATCAAGGACATTTTTAGTTTGGAGCTTTTGCATTTCTCTCTCTCTCTCTCTTTCTCTCTCTCTCTCTCTCTCTCTCTCTCTCTCTCCTTTTACATATCTGGGTTGTTCATTCCCTTATATTAGCTTTTGCTAAAAAAAAAAAAAAGAAATGATCTTCTCTGTGAGACTTGCTTTAAACTTTCTGTCTAAAATAGCATCCTCCTTCTTGTACTTTTCACTGTCTGTTATATTGTATATTTGTTTATTTTATTTTTGTCTTCCCCACTAGAATGCAAACTCATCAAGTGGAAGAATTTTATTTTGTTCATTGTTTTGTCCCTAGGACCTACAACAGTGGTTGGTACATAGTAGGCTTTTAATAAACATCTGTTCAATTTACAAATGCCAAAAGCTGAATCACCTGACTAAAATCTCTCTTACTTTTGCCCAATATATAACTGATCTTAATAACTGAACTTAATCATAAGCTACTGTTCATAAAATAAGTCCATGACTCAGAGAGAGCAGAGATTGCTCTAGTTGATAAACAAGTCAAAATAGAAAAATAAAACTACTTAAGTAATGCAGCCACCTAGAAAAGGCACAGTTAACTTGTGATTAAGATGGGTTGTTGGAAAATTAGGCAAACTGCCCAAAATATTCTTGATACCAAAATACCCTGAAACCTTAAGGCTGTCCTATAAAGGGCCAGGCTAAATATCAGACTAAATTTTCAAAGCTTGGAAAAAAAGAAAAAGCAATCTATCTGGGCTAATATCAGGATTAGAGTGGTTGAGACTCATAAGGAAAAATGAGAAAAGCAGTTAAGCATTAAAAAAAATATCGCTAATAATAGCAACTCTGAAAACAGAGTGCTTTCCTTGTTGCTTAATTAATTAGATGAAGAATGCTGGTGTAAATGCTGGTGTTTTTACAAATAGAATTTGGGAAGCATGTTGGGATTTCTTTCAACCACACTAATGAATACATGACCATCCAGATAATGTGGTATATGTACAGTACCCAAGAGAGTAACCTCTTGCATGCTGAACTTTAACTGCCCCATATAAAGAGATGACAGAAAATGAGGACCATATATGCAAGAAGAAATGTTCTGTGGGCCATGAATCCCCTGAAATTTTGTACAAAAAAAATTGTACAGATAAGCATATGGACATTTTTCTGAGAACACATCCATAAATGACATCACTCAACAAGGTGTGAGGTTCAAAACAAGATTAAGAACCACTCTCATACTATGTTTTTAGATCAATTTTGATATGTAAAGAAAAGAAATGGAAAGATTCCCACTCTCACACCATAACCCTCCTCCATCCCATGTACGCTACCCCCACCTAACATAACACCCCGGTACCATGATTGCATTCAGAACTCAGAATTGGTGGAAAGTGGGGAGAAGAGGAGATACAGAATGAGAGAGGGAGTAGCAAAATAATATCAAAAAAATAAAATAAAAGAAAGAAGGTCGGAGGGGAAAGAGGAAATGTAAAGAGGGGGCAGTTGAGGAAAACAGGTGGAGTGGTTTGTGCACACTCAGTAACGGGAAGTGGAATCAAAACTTGGTTAGGAAGAGACCCTCACACCCCACAACCACATAAAAATGATGAGGTAAAAACTCTGTGCATGTGAGTGGCTGGGGGACTTGAAATCATCACCACTTAAGCACAAGCGGAAAAATGAGTGGTAACTTTAAAGAGGTTCATAAAACACTTCAAGTGGAGTCCCCTGCTCCTGAAACATGCTGCTGCCTGATGAGTGTTTTCCAGTGGGTCTGTGATTCAGTCTCACCTGTGTACTAAAAGGGTCTGGAGGGAACATTTATAGCTGTTAGCACAAACTTATGTTCCTTCGAGGGTAATTCTACTTAGAAAGTAGAATGATTCACATGAGCCATGGATATTTTCCTGAAATCAGTAGCATTTAGCCAACCATTTCACAAGGTGGGATTCTACCTAATTGGAGCAGCAGCACCACCCCATCACTCCTTCCCCATACATTCACATGTGCTTGTAGGATCTTGCTACACCACTACTTTCACGTAGAGGAGAGCCAGGACTTACAAAGCCTCGCAGTTCTTATGGCAAATTTAGGGCCAGAAAGAAAAGATAACTTGTCTAAGGCTGCTTTAAACTGTACTCCCACCAGCTGTCCTCCTGTTCCCATTCCTTGATACTGCTGGGTCTTTCTATCTTAGAGTATAGAATTTCCCAGCCTGAAAGCCTATTACCACCCTTTATTTGCTTGGTTAGTTCTTTCCATCTGTCAGGTCTCAGCCTCTGTCCCCCAGATGAGATAAGACTTCTTGGTTGGGTAGATCTGTCATGGCTGACCTGTCCCACTTGCAAAGCATTTCTCTCTGGATTTTATTGGGGTTTCACAATAAGGTGTGTGTTTAAAAATAAAAAAAAACACTATAAAAATTTTCTGCATATTTCAGAGAATATGCTATGCAAGGAAACGAGTTGCTGCCCATTGGATAGACATGCCCTATGGGGCTGGGTTGTTATTCACTAACTGGTAACCTTCACAACCTTCAGCGGAACAGCAGTCAGTCAGCAGCACCTGAGGTTCCATGGGCCAGGAGGTAAGCAAGCACAGAGATGAAAATGTCCAGCACACTGTTGGATCCTAACACTCCTGATAGTCACTAAGAGGTATTCCAAAAATGGTGAAGTCACAAATAGGGTGCAACTAGGAAGGCCTGGCTCTGCTTGTGATGGCTTAAAATAGTTCAGTTTGACTTTCTGAACCTTGAGCTCAATTATTCCTCTTCTAGACATCGGGCACCAAGAGCTCTGGGTCTGCCTGATTCTGAGGAATAGTGAGGTCAGGAAGGACCTTTTCATTTGGGAGTCTGGCAAAAGGTAGATCTTATGTGCAGTCTCTCTGATATCCCTAACATATCTGAGATTTTTCTGGAAAAGTCCATAATGGATTTGCAATCTTGAAAAGCTCAAGTGCAAAACACCTGGAGTCTCAGGATTCCCCCCACCAAATGCTGCTGCTTCTCTAGGCTGCCTCCCACACTCTAACCAAAGTCCCAAGGTGTTTGAGCTGAAAGGAGATTCTTGCCCCAGTATCCATTGAACCCGAAGTTCCCTTCTTGGTTGGCTTTTTCTTTCTCATATAGCTTTTCTAACAGCCCTGATATTCCTAAAGAGAGACCATCAGATTGCCTTTGGAGGAAGACAAGAAAAATAGGAGCAGAACCCAACTCCAAATACTCTGTTGTATGACTGGCCATAGCTGAAGCTGCCCTGACCTGTGGGGTTCCCCATTTGCATTTCCCACTTACTGTAAGTCCTGGGCTCCAGGAATACTGGCCTTTCCCCTCTTGCTGCCTTGGAGCCTTCTCTTCCAGGAAAGTAGCCACCAGCACAACCACACAGCCACTGTCTGTTCTCAACTGAATGTCTGAAATTTTCACTTCTACCCTCTCTTTCCACTATAGTCCTTCCTTGTAGTTGGACCACGTTTCTGATCCCCTTCCAGGAAAAGGGCGTGGGAGTCATCTTATACCAGAGCTCCATCTCCCCATCTCAGTCTCTTAGCCTGTGTCTTTGCCAGCAGGATACCCATGCACACCCAACCACTCAACCAGAACTGACTGGATCCTGTCACTCTGAGAGGCTAGTCTAGAATGTGACCTGTGCCTTTGTCTCAGAGCTCCTGGTTTCCTTGAAAATGAGGATTAATGGGGCTGTGCCTTAGAACCCAGAGGCCCAGGAACTCATAATGTTCCTTCCTCTTTGAAAGAGACAGGCAAAACTCAGCCAGGCCCTAAGGAAGAGGCAGCTGAGCCACAGCTCCCAGCCCCTGTGTCTTTGCTCAGGCCATGGGGCTAGCTGACTCCATGGCAAGTAATCACAGAACTTAAAACCTCAAGCACATAAACACTCACCGGTTCCACAGCTCAGTTCAAAAGCCAGAGAGAAAAACAGCAGAAAGTTGAAGGAGAAAAGCCCCTTGGGATCCATCAGCCGGTAAGGAGAAGGAAGGGAGCCTTGCGCGTGGAGCCCAGCAGCTTCTCACTGAAGAAACAGCAGAGGCAAACTGTACCAGGCAGCTGTGCCTCTGCTGTCTAGTTTATGCATCAGGAACTAGCAGGCTTCCTGTCTTACGGGACTTTTTGTCTTATAAATTGCTCATCTCCTTTCAGGCCTTAAATCACTTTGTTGTTCCCAAGAAGTTCGAGTCAGGTGCTTAGGCCACTAGAGCTGGGAAGGGACTTGTGCGGTCACCTTGATCAACCATGGCTGTGGGCAGAAATGTGCTCCCCTTGTTAGCTGTCTCCAGGAGTGGGGGACCAAGTTCTCTGGACATTTTCATATGGTAATTCATCTTAGAGTACAAGAAAAAGAGGAAGTTTTTATCAGACTACTCCCAAATTTGGGTTAGTTAGTTCGAAGTGGAATTTAGATGACTAAAATTTAATGAGTTAATGGAACTCTTATTTCTGATTTGTTCCATTATTCCAGACCACCTCAACATGCAGTCAGGTCCTGGTGCCAAAGTCACAGAGAGATGGGTGGGTAAGTGCAGATTAGTTGTCAGAAATCCAACCTCCCTGCTGGATACAATGTGGTAAGATTTAATGAACCCTATGGTATTTTTGGAAGGACCATTTTTATTTTTGATCTTGTGTCTAAATTTTTGTTGAGGAGAAGGGACTAGAATTAACAGAAGAAAGATCATTTACTTTTCCACTTGTTATGGTGTAAGAATGAAACACTGGAAAGATCGTATTACCAGTGCTCACACGGAGACTTTGAAAGACCAGGCTAGTGTTTTTTAAAGTCCATTTAAACAATTCAAAGTCACTCCCCAATGGGCCTTCCTAAGAAGACCAGGATAATAAGAAAAAAAAAGACTTTCTTAGAAAAATAAAAATGGAGGGAATTTGTTGTCTGTAGTTCTGCCTTGCAAGAAATGTTAAAAGAGGCTCTTTAGGGAGAAAAAAATAATATAGGTCAGAAATTCAGATCTACATAAATAAAGGAAAAGCATCAAAAAAGGTATAAGTGAAGATATACTAAAAACTTTTATTTTTCTTACTCTTAATTGATCTAACTGAAAACACATTGTTTAAAATAACAGCAATAATGTACTCAATTATGTAAATATCTTATGTACATGTATGCTTATATGTGCTTGTGTGTAAATGAATGACAGCAATGATACAAGGGACAAGAAGGAGAAATTAGGATTTTCTTTTATTATAAAATATGCTACCAATGAAACAGTATAGTGTTATTTGAAAGTGTGTTTGAATTAGTTGCAACTATATATTGTAAAAACTAGGGCAACCACTTTAAAAAAAAAGATGTATAACTGATATATTAAGAAAGGAGAATAAAAAGAAATCATATAAAATTCTCAATTAAAACCACATAAGGCAGAAAAAGAAGGGAAGGCAATTACAGCAACAAAGAGCAAGAGTAACAAATAGAAAATAGTTACAAATATAAACATTAACTATATCAATAATCACTTTGAATGTCAATGGTCTAAATTAAAAGACAGAGATTGTCCTAGTGGATTAAAAACAAGACTCAACTGTATGTTGTCTACAAGAAACCCACTTTAAGTGTAAAAACACATATATATTAAAAGGTAAATGGATGAAGAAAGAAAAAACATGGTAACACTAATCAAAAGAAAGCAAAGTAGCTACCTTAGTTTCAGACAGAATAGACAGCAAAGCAAGGGAAATTATCAGGAAAAAAGGGACATTACACAATAACAAAGTGGTCAATTCTCCAAGAAGACATAATTCTTAATATATATGTGCCTAACAACAGAACTTCATATATGTAGGCAAAATCTGATAGAACCATAAGAGAAATAGATAAATCTGTTATTATAATTTGAGATTTCAACATCCCTCTATCAGAAATGGACAGATCCGACAGACAGAAAATCAGTAAGGACACAGTGGAGCTCAACAACACTACCAATCAACTGGGTATAATGGACATCTACAGACTACTTCATCTAATAATAGCAGAATGCACATTTTTTTTCTTAAGCTCACAAGGAACATTCACCAAGAGAGACCACCTTCTGGGTCATAAAATATGCCTCAACATGTTTAAAAGAATAGAAGTCATCCAATTTCTGGCCTCAGACCACAATGGAATTGATCTAGAAATCAATATCAGAAAAATAACTGGAAACCCCAGAATATAGAGAGATTAAACAACACATGAGTCAAAGAAATAAATTTCAACAGAAATTTTAAAATATTTTAAACAAAATGAAAAAAGGCAAATATGACCAGCAACACTGAAAGGAAAAGAAATCAACAGAGACAAGAGGGAAGGGGGGGCAGGGAAAGGGAAGGGAAGGGGAAAGTCAAGGAACATATAGCAAGGACTCATGGACAAAACCAAAGGGGAAGAGCTGAGGGAGGGAAGGTGGGAGGGGGCAAGGGAAAGAGGGGGGGGAAGGCAGAGACAAATGTATTTAAAAAGTAAATAAATTAATTAAAAAAAAATACCACATTATCGAAATTTGTGTGATGCAACAAAAGTAGTACTTAGGGGGAAATTTAGAACACTGAATATATATATTAGAAAAGAAAGACCTAAAAATCAATAATATAAGTTTCCACTTTAAGAAACTAGAACAATAAGAACAAATTAAATCCAAAGTAAACAGAAAAAAATAAATAATAAAAATTTGAGCAGAAAGGAATGAAATTGAAAACATGAAATCAAGATAGAAGACCAGTGATCTTTGAGAGAGCAACAAAATTGATAAACCTCTAGCCAGGCTAAATTATTTTTTTTTAAAAAGGATACAAATTACTAATACCAGAAATGAATGAGGAGATAGCATCACAAAGTCCATGGACATTCAAATGATAACTAAGAAATAGTATGAACAACTTTATGCCTACGAATTACATAACCTAGATGAAATAGACCAATTCCTTGAAAGACATACTTTGCTGAAACTCACAGAAGATGAAATACATAATCTGAGTAGGCATATAATTATTAAAAGAATTGAATCAATAACTGGTATCATTCCAAGTCAGAAAGTACCAGTTTCAGATGGGCTTACTGGTGAATTCTACGAATAATTTAAGGAAGAAATTACACCAATTCTCTACAATTTCTTTCAAAAGATACAAGAAGGAATTCCTCCTAATTCCTTCTATTCCATATTCTAACTCACTGTAATATCAGAGCCAGATAAAGATATTACAAGAAAAGAAAAATACAGACCAATTTCTCTCATAAAACTAGATTAAAAAATTCTCAACAAAACATTAGCAAACCAAATCCAACATCATATAAAATAATTATACATTATGGCCAAGTGGAATTTATCTCATTGGCAAGTCTGGTTCAACATTTGAAAATCAATCAGTCTATCCTGTCAACACACTAAAGAAGAATCACATGATCATATTAACAGATGCATAAAAAGCATTTGACAAAACTGACCATTTGTTAATGATAAAAACTCTTGCCAACTATCCTTACCATGGTGAATATCTACAGAAACCTACAGTTAAGCCAATCAAAATTTATTCCATTAGTCTTTGTAACAGTAAAAAGCAGGTATTATTATCACTCTCTCACAGATTGAGGCACAGAGCTGCCAAATCACTTTCTAATGGCTCAGAGCCAAAAAAAAATAAAAGCATTGGATTCAAATCCTGCATTACCTTACTTCAGAGTCTATGCTTTATTCACTCATTATGCCACTTCCATTACAATGGGCAAGAACTTTAACCAAACTTCAGGTTCATGTTGGCTAATAACCCATTTCCCATGAAACATTGCTTCAGGTACAGACAAAGGTAAGGGCAACAGGAGGATCCTGGATAAGCACAATTTTCTGCCCCTCACCATCATCATTTGTGACAAACAGTACTTCCTCCCTTTGGCTATGTGGATCCCCACCCTGGGATTGAGGAAGATCACTTACCTTTGGAAAACAGCCCTCACCAAACACTAGCAGGTTACCCGCACAATGAGACCCCATCCTACTCTTAAATAGGAAGGTGTAACATCCCCTTAAGATTTGCTACTCCCCTGACACTTTATGGCAAGATTTGGCAAAGTAACCTGCCTGAAGGTGACTGGCACTGGGCTGCCCCTGGTTTCCCAGACAATTATCACCATCACAGTCTCTGACCAGAAGTTCTTACAACATGAGACAGCCCCACAGGGTAGAGTCACTGAGGGGCAAGCAAGACCACTTGGCCACTTAGAGCCCATGATGAGCACATTTATGTGTATAAAAAAGAAAAAAACCCAAAAAACAAAATGAAAATACAAAATTCCCCCAAAATCTGAAACATCTCTTAGGAGACTTATTCACAGAGCCTTAAATTGGTCTGGGGAAAGCACTGGGAAAAACACCCTGGGTTCAGCCCTGTTGGGTGAGATGAGGAAGCCCACAGGGACAGGTATCTGATATGGGGGCTGAGCAAACCTGTTGACCAGACAACCCTGTTGTGGGTTGGGATTTTAGGGGTTGAGGAGATGAGAGGAAACTAGGCTATGAGGTGGCTCTAGTTCAGACCTAGGCCCAGGTTTTACTTGATATTTGTATCCTGAGTGTTCTTGTCAGCCTGTTACCTTCCTGAGCACTAACCATGAGTAACCCAGGCCCAGGTTGGAGAGCTGGGGACAGGGCTCAGTGTGGCCTATGCAGACAGATGCCCTCTGGCAGTCCCTTCTGGCCTTTGCCTGGTCTGTGGTGCTGAGATTGCCCACTCCAAGGTTTCCACCAAGTTTCCCACCTAAGTGTCTCCTCCAGAATTCAGATCAAGTTTAGAGCACTGGAGTCTGGAGATTGAGAAGAGGTGTCCATGGCATCTGTAATCTGAGGATTTCCTCTCCAAACTCTTGTCATTTCCACTGATACTCCTTCCATTCTTCCAGACCCCAGAGCCAATGTGTGGGTACTTCTCCCCTTCTGGGTTCTTCTCTAGACTGGTCCTGAACTTCTTATGTCC